TGGAAAGCAGTGAAAGCCAACAGCTTCCTAAAGGAACAACCCAAATTCAGCATTCCACAGTGGATTGTAATGCAATATGACATGACTGTATATTCTCTGCTGTAAACTTTTAAATCAGGTATATCTTCCTAGGTTAGTTATTACAAGGAAAAGTTTGAGAGCTCGTGTAGGGATGAACAGGAAAGTGCAAACACTTCTAACGGTGTAACTTAGAACCTTTTATCCTTGATACATTATATATCCAGTGCTAAATCCACTTTTTTTCCCCCCTCCATCCAGAGCTATCACGCTGGAGAACACACTGGTGATCTTGTCAACGGTGGCCCCTGATGCTGGAAGGTACTATGTGCAAGCTGTAAATGACAAGAATGGAGACAATAAAACCAGCCAGCCCATCATGCTCACTGTGGAGAGTAAGTGCTCTTTTGGGTGAAAAGTGGGGAAAAGGGCTTTTGGATTCCAGCTGACCGATTTTCTTAAAAGCTTCATCTGTCTTTTTAGCAGCAGTCTGGTAGATATCAATTCAGTTGATGCAGGAGAAAAATCTTGTACCTGCTCCATGTGTGCCAGTGCTTCTTTACAACAAACTACAACATCAAGCTATTTATCAACATCTACTGTGGAATAAATATAACAGTGTTATTGTGATCGCCATAAACACCAGCACCATTCATCCCAGCTAGGCCCATATTATTTTAATTTTCTATATGAAGCAGCTAATAGGTCATGCTTGGGCTCATTCAAGTGGAGCTAGGACTTTAATTTACTTTAGCATCCACTGAATTCTCTCTGAATCTGCTTATAGAGAAATACCACTTTTCCAGACAGAGGGACAGCTGAGTGATCAAGATATCAGCCTCTGAGTATTGTAGATGAAGGTTCTGTTCTTCCCAGAAACAATCAGAGAGTTGGATAGTTCTGCACCTCGTAGAGACCACATTTGTGTACACAACATAGGCTACAAAGGAATTGGCAACCTTGAGTGGTGCTTTGGCCATCTTTTAAGTCAGGGGTATCAAATTCAAGGCCCGCTGGGCCACCCTGGAAACAGTGAAGGACTGGCCCACGGTGCCTCTGCCAGGGAAAATGGAGCTCAGGAGGGCTGAGCACACCCCTCCCGAGCTCCATTTTCCCTGGCAGAGGGTTGCAGGAAATTGTTGCAGCCAAAAACAGAGACCAGGAGCCCGTTTTCACTGTCAGAGCGCTCAGGCCACCATAGGCACCCCCGACATGAGTGATGTTAAGCTGGCCATGCCCACTTTGGCCCCCTGAGGTCAAACACAACCCTGATGCAGCCTTCAATGAAGTCAAGTTTGACACCCTGTTTTAGGTGATCCTGGTGAAAACTGTGTTACAGAAGAGAATGGCTGGAGATGGCTTTGTCTTCTTCCCCAACACAGTCAGCTCCCAACAGCTGGCCAAACAATTATTGGAGGAGCTGTCAGAGAAGAAACCTTAGGCAGAGTCTTTCCTCCACATGTTGTTTTTTAATACTGTCATAGGACAAGAAGATGGGCAGAGTGTGTTGGATAGCAAGAGAAGTCAGAGCATCTAAGGGGTCGTTGCACTGACAATAAATCATAAAAGCAAATATGAGGTCTGTGCATGATTGATGGACTATATGTTGCTGGGACATGTCCTAGAATTTTGAGACACTGCCTGCATTTGACGATGCAATTGTTTGTTGTCATTGTGCTTTCTGCAAGAAATTAAAATGGGTATAAGATTGCAGCCTGAATCTCTTGTCACTTTAAGGATCCGGAAGGGCTGTCTGAATAAATGCTGTTTCAAGAGGCTAGCACAGTTCAAATTACTTTAAACCTAAGTGCTGCAGCTAAGTGGGAGGAGGGCTGAAGTTTATGGCTTGCTTATTTTCTGGTGAACCAATGGTCCCTAAAGCTCAGTTTTGTCGCCATTGTCTCTTTGCACCTGGCTTCTCTGATGCTTCTGCTGGCTCGGGCCCAGATTTAATTTGCAGTAAATCTCAGGCAAAGCGGCTGGTGCTGACTAAACATTTCTACGGGCTCTGAATTTATTTAGACACTTTGGGCCATAAGTATGAGAGCTAGGAGGCTTTCATTACATCACCAGCTTAGGCCCTCATTCCTATCCCTGCATCGGCTTTTTTTGGGAGCAGAGTGCTTGGCTGCAGAACTGAGCCTGGGAATCTGCATGGCTATAGCCTCTGTACAGTCTCTAAAGGGAACTCTCCCAGGACATGTGAATCCTCTTTCCCTCTGGATGATGTTTATTTCACAGCTGTTTTATGTCTCCCAGATTTGGCTTTATATCCCTTTCCCCCTCTTTGCCCCATTAATTTGAAGAGCTGTACCTCAGAGTGCAATAAACACCATAGTGCATGCCTTTATGGATTCGCTCTATCAGCAACTTGCAATTGTAGTCAAGAACTGGAGGAGCAGGGGGGGAGTTACCACAGCAATTATTTTATTTTATGCACTTACCCTGTTGCAGCTTCTCTTGCTGCTGCTTTCTCTCTTCCCCTCCTTTCCTTTCCAATGCCAATTGCCGGTGCCCAGCTACAGATCACAGCAGGTGGCAAGATTTAGCAGAAGGTTAAGGGGAAGGTAGGTATGGAATCTTAATCTTGTTTTCAAAGATTTCAGCTCTCCAAGCTGCATGGTGGAAGCTAAAGCCCAGCCCTGTAAGACCGCCCCCTTCAGCTTGCTGACTTTGATGGGAGAGCTTTGCCTGTGCTCCATCACTATGTGAATGAGCAAACCAGTCTCCAACAAAGTCTGGTGCCTTCTCCCTCCCCCTTCCTGGAAGTGCCACTCTCACTCACACTTTTCAGGTGTTTGATGTGACTCAAAAACTGCATGCAGAAAACCGTCGGCACCCTTCAACGGCACTTGAAACGCGAGAAGTCAGACCGCCTTCTGCAGCACGCTTTCTGCTTCTTTGCCATTTTATTTCTTCTGAATGGGAGGTTTAAGAAGGGAAATACAGTCTCTCGGTTCACTGTCGGGAAGGAAAAGTCAGTACGGTGGAGCAAAACAGGAGAAGAAAAGAGAAAAATCAGAGATAATTGGGTAAATGAGATACAGGCTGTGCAACTGGTGTTTCTTGTCTCTACTAAGTGTACATTGCTAAAGAAGCCTGGTGGGTGAACAGTCTTGAACCAGGTAAGTATCATCTAAGAAAGAAGATTGGGCCAAAAGAGAGAAATAAATAATAATCTGGTAGAACGAGATAGGCTTCTTAAGCAGCACGGTTTAATCTGCAGTGATTTCTGTTTGCACAGTCAAACCACAATCCTGCTTCAACCAGCCTTAAACAAAAAGCTCGTCGTGAGACATTACTTCCCTTCTCTCCTGTGAGATTTCACCTGTCATTTCTTACATACCTCCCAATCGATCTTTCCAAATGCATTCCCACTTGATATCCCCCCCCAATCTGTTGTAGCAAGTGCCGTGGTGGAGCAGTGGTTGGAATATAGTATTGCAGTTCGATTCTCACCAGCTCAAGGTTGACTTAGCCTTCCATCTTTCCGAGGTCGGTAAAGTGAGGACCCAGATTGTTGAGGTCAATATGTTGACTCTGTAAACTTAGAAAGGGCTTGAAAGCACTGTGAAGCGGTATATAAATCTTAAGTGCTATTGCTAGCTACAACCTCTGGAATTCAAGTTGTGGGAACTTGGAAGAAGTTCAATTAGAATAGAATTGCAACCAATAATAGTATCTATTTTCTGAGCTCCCACCTAACCAAGGCACAGGTACACACTTGGACTTTTGATGGGTAAATCTTGGATGCATCAGACACTCCTGCAAGATGGCTGCAAGAATATTTTGGACAGACAAAGCTTGTAGGAGGACTAGTTGATGGTGCTACATGTCACACAGAAAAGAATAATATTCTTTTCTGGAAAGAAGAATATTTGGAATATACAAGAGTGGTGCGGCATGGTGCCAAATCTGGAAACCTTATAGGTAGACTAGCTATGTGAGATGGAAATGTTCAGGAAGAGTGGTAAAGCTTTTCTATTATATTCCAAAATGTGAATTAAGAAGTATATATAATGAGCATTTATCATATATAAACAGTGAATATTTCTGTGTAACAAATGAACTGCTAACTGGTATACCGTTCCATTTTTTTTACAGATGTAGGTGGCCCAGCTGACCCCATTGCTCCAACCATCATCATTCCACCATGCAACACTAGCGTAATCTCTGGTACTTCTGAAGTGACTCTGGAGTGTGTGGCCAATGCTAGGTAAGTCTGCCTGGCTCCTTTGCTCTGTGACTTGTGACTCCGAATTACAATGAGGGTCACCTCTGTATGCCCCATGTGCCATGGCATGAAAACAGCCCGTTAATTTCTTCTCAAGGACGTGAATGCCCGTCCTCAATGTTCTCCCAGCCCACTGCAAATTCAGTCTCCACTCACCTTTTATTTCTCCACTCCAAAAAAGGATGTTTCCCAACTTCTGCCAGCAATATTGTACCTAGGAGTCATTCTGTAATAAATCATCCTAAGGTAAATTTGGGGATGGAGGCCCATCTTGCCCCAGTTGGCCCCATGAGGCTATTGTTGGCCTACACTCCACATGATGGCAGGACACAGACTTTTATGGCCATTGGTGAGAGTCGGGGTTTCTCATTGTGCCAAAAGGTTTCTCTCCCACTTTTCTTACCAACCCATTGAAAGGGGTCTGTCCTCACAAGCTTCTCTCTGCTAACTAGGCCTCTCATTAAACTACACATCATCTGGAAGAAGGGAGGGATTCCAGTATCCAGTGGCATCAGTGACTACAACCGGCGGTTGACCATCCTTAATCCCTCCCTAAGCGACAGTGGCTACTATGAGTGTGAAGCTGTGTTGCGCAGTAGCAGCGTACCTTCTGTGGTTCGAGGAGCTTATCTCTCTGTGCTGGGTAAGAAGAAGAATCTTTGCTGAGTTTCTGTGCCTAAAGGGACTACTCGCCAATTGGGCAACCACATCAGGTTCAGCTGTTGCCGTGGTCCTTTGTTTTAGCATTGCAATCATCAGCCGCTCAAAGCATTTCCCTAACCATCGAGTGCCACTTTTCCATCTATGATGTGACATTAGTCATTCCTTAAAGACATACCCCTGTTCAGAATCAATGTCAAGTGACCATCCTGTTTTTATCACCCTACATTATCCTATGTCTGATAACATGTCAGACTTTGCATTTCCAATTATTTAAAATGATGGTTTGACATATAGGACATTGCATTTAGATAGCGAAAAATCAAGACAGGATGCATCAGTTTTGCTACCTTTGCAGATATGAGCCTAAAGACTCACTGGCATCATGTCCACCTGGTCACTCTGAGCATAATTCTTTACTTCCCTCTAACTTTAGCTTGACGTGATGCAGTTGTCTTTTTATCCCCATTTTAGAGCCAAGAACAAGCTACCTTTGGGTTTTTCTCGTGGAAGTGGAAGTAATATTTCCTATCTTCTCCCAGTCAATGTTTTCCTGTGCACACAATATTTGGCACTTTGGTGGTGGCTGAATTAGTGATAGTGGGGAGGGGGTCTGAGATCTGCTCAACTAGCTCAACTAGCTAATATAGGCATGCCCCTTCCTCTCCTGTATTGTGTAATGGCAGCCTCCACAACTGTCTTGTAACTTGTTGACCTGAGCCAGTACTATCTTCACGCACAACCTATGAAGTCATACTTTATTCTCCTATATCACTTACATATGTCCAAGTTCTAGAATCCTACAATCAAGTGGCATAACAGTTCTGATTACATACAGTAGCTCTGAATATTTTCCTAATACCCTCCTCCCCTCGCAGGATTTACTTCTTAATTTGTGCCTATCATACAATTCCAGCTTCTACTGATCAATAATTCCAGATCCCCTGCTGTCATGCTGACAGGTTGCAAGGAAGTTTTCCTTTGTAGATCCCCCTTCCCCCGTGTAAACTCAATCTGCTCCAGCTCATGGTAGCAGGTCAAGCCTATGCACCAACTCCAGGAGGATTCCCTTCTTTCAGCCAGTGCCCCTCTCATCAGCATATCTCATAGCAAATTCTTCTTCCCCCTCAGATCCTCTACATCGATTGCTAAACTGCTGGCTAAACAAGGGAAGAAGTCAAAATGAAAACTCATTAATCAAAAATGCTCTGACTGAAGGGATCAGATAAGTTAGAGAAGTAGGATGTGTTGATAGATAAGAATCCAAAGAACAAAATGTGGCTCACAGTCAAAAGTTGCCACCTTCCCAGTCCACATTAGAGAGAGTGGTTGGTAGAAGTCTCTTTCTGATAGGAATTCCACAGATCATCCTGGCACTTAATTTGTCCTGAAATAAAATATTGGAACAGGTGACCACTCGCTGGTCCTATTATGAGGGCAGAATAGTGACCGATAAATAGAGCAAATAATGCTAATATACTTTTATGTCCCCTTAAAGACTGGAGGAAAGCAAATAAGGGGTTGCCTGCCTGTATCCGTAATATCTTCTAGGGCAGGGGTCCCCAAACTTGGCATCTTTAAGACTTGTGGACTTCAACTCCCATAATTCCTCAGCCAGCATAGTGCCAAGTTTGAAGACCTCTGTTCTAGAGTCATCTAATCATTGTTATGCCAAAAGGACAATAATGAGGGCAGGCTTCCTGTCACTTCAATAGTGACTCGGTGATGCTGTGAAGATACTGCACAATACTAGTGGCAGTGGTGGATTAAGGCTCACTGGTGCCCTAAGCACTGACAAATCTTGGTGGCCCACACCCTCCTTTGTACATACTGTACAAATGAAGCCATATTCTCAACTTTGTAGTGCCCCCTTTGGGCCTGGTGTCCTGAACACGTGCTCAGTCTGCTTAATGGTTAGTACACCACTGACTAGAAGGGAAATGGCATGAGTCTTATTTAAGTGCAGGTCAGGATATGTTTGTTCTTTAAGAGCAAACTTAATAAAAGCCATTCAGCAGAAATAATTTACAAAGATATGGAAAAATCTTGTGCGGAATTGTACTGTGAAGCCATTTAGCCCATAAGAAATTGAAACTGGAATCTTAGGCAGGAAACACTTTCAGGTCATTTGTTTTGTTTGGGGAGGGTTTTTTTTTAGTGAGAAATGACAAAAATGGAAGCTGAACATTTCCAAATATAACCATGACATTTCTTTTTTTAAATTCAATATGAAGAATGTTCGGCTGGTCCTACGTCTGATTTTTCTTTTACAGAACCTCCCCAATTCACCAAGGAACCAGAAAGACACATTACAGCTGAGATGGAGAAAGTAGTACAGATTCCATGCCAAGCTAAAGGTAATTTCCTGCATTTCTTTAGGGATTGTTTGGATCAATTTAGTTTTGTATCAGAATAGTTAACCTTACAATCCTAGCCATCCATGACATTGATAAATGACCATTTCTGTTATATCTACATTTGGGAGATTTTATGTAGTGAAATGAATGAAGAAAGTGTTCAGATATTCACCATTCACATGTAGCTAAAAATATATGCATGAGCACATTTCTGTTCCCATTGAGCTGCAGCGAAAACCATGAAAAGACTAAGTAGGATGCACTGATATGTGCTTAATGTGTGGGCCAATGTTTTTCAATCATGATGACTTTAAAATATATGGACTTCAACCTCCAGAATTCCTCATCCAGCAAGCTGGATGGTGACTTCAGGGAGTTGAAGTCCACAAATCTGAAAGTTACTAAGGTTGAAAAACATTGCTCTACTCCAAGATAGGGGCCCTATGCTTAACAGCAGCCTTATTTGCAGTAGCATCAAAGACATCACTCCCTAAGCTTTCCGTGAAAAAAAGCAAAGAATTTGAAGACTTGTGAAAAGGAAACTGTTATCTTAAACTGCAAGCTAGGGGCCTGATTTTAAGTTGTAGCAAACATTTTCTCTGAATAGATTATCAAGGTTTTGCTTTGTGTTGTTGTTTGAAGTCCTAAAAGTTTTATGGGAGCTTCTGTTTGTTGGTATATTTGACATATCAAAGTATATTGTCCTTCCATAGATAATTGTAGCAGCAGGGCCAAAGTTTCAGAAAAAAGGTGGGAGGTCTCTAATTTTCTCCTTCCAAAAGTTACCTACTTTTTATATTCCCTGGCTTGGCCCTCCTGTTTGATGTAGCTGCTTGGTAGTTTCAGCTGCTATCACTTGTCTATTTGGGGCAGTGGTGGTATTCTACCAGTTCAGCCCAGTTCGGCCTAACTGGTACTTCGAGGATCATCTGTGAGCAAAAAGGTTTGCTCTGATGATCAGCTCAGCTGCTGGGCCCTCCCACCCTGGTTCTATACTGAGCTTTATTTCCTGGTTTTGAAGCTCAGCTGTTTCGTGTGGCACAGCGGATTGCCGCACATCAGCTGTTGAAGAGACAGGGAGAGTGCAGGATTGCAGGAGAAGGTCAGTAGCAAGCCCTCTGCACATGTGCAAAGCGCGCATATGCACACAAAGCACATCCACCAAGCCACGCCCACAGAACCGGTGGGTGGTAAAAAAAAGTTGAATCCCACCACTGATTTGAGGGAAGTTCTTGTCAAATATCCTTCCCCTTCAACCCTAGAAGGGGGTAAGAAGGGAGGGGCAGAGGTGGTATTCAGCAGGTTCTGACCAATTCTGGAGAACTAGTAGTGGAAATTTTGAGTAGTTTGGAGAACCAGTGTTAACCTTCCCCTAGGAGTGGGCAGGGAATGGAGATTTTGCAATATCCTTCCCCTGCCATGCCCGCCAAGCCACGCCCACCAAGCCATGCCATGCCCACAGAACCAGTAGTAAAAATTTTTGAATCCCACCACTGGGGCGGGGGGGAATCACTCACATCCTTCAGCTTGACTTGCCAGTAGAAAGGGGAAAAGATGATGAAAGTTAAGTAAATTCTACAGGGTCTCTTCTTGATCCTTGTAGCTTTGAGGCATATGCTGTGGAAATCAGCTCCCTTCTTTTGGGAGTTGGATCAAAAGCACCTTCTATAATTCAAAATCAAAATTCATTAAAAATAGGAAAGAATAAAAAGGGCCTACTTTTTAATTTGAGGTAACCACCAGTAAATACATACATTTATTTACATAGGATGGTTGCTAAGACAAATACAATAAAATTAAGATATAACAGTTATCCAAGACAAATGTTTATTCTGTCTAGCACACACATTTGATTCAAACCATGGTCTAATTATAAGTTGTTCCTGGCTAAATGTATTACCTATGCTTTAGAGTTGAAGAATCCATCCAGCAAACAATCCCTTGCTTAGTTTTCCTTGATATCTTAAATATTGTAAATTGCAATCACAATTGAGATCAGTTTTAACATTGGTTTCATATATATTTTTTCTTCCCTTTTCCCAATGATTTTGTGGCTGAAACAGATTTCCCCATTTGAGTTATTCCTGGATCACATTATCAGATGATCCCTGAGGATACCAGCTGTTCTTCTTCCCATTTCTCTGGACATCACTTTTCATCTTTCAGGGCTTGGATTTAAAAATGACTGAGATATTTTTTTTTGGGGGGGGGGGCGGTCCTTTCCTGTATACAGGTGGCAGATTATACGTTTTTCTCTCTGATAATGTAGATTCAAACCCAGAGAGTTTAATGTGGATTTCCTGACTTGGGTGCAGCTGTCAATTTCATTGTTGCTGGGTGACAACACAAGGTGGTATACTTTTTTTTAAAAGATAATAAAATAAGAAAGAACCACAATAAATAAGAGCAATAAAGTAAAAAAAAACCAGCAATAAAAATCAACTATCAGAATAAAATGCCATTTTCATCTTTTCTTAGATGGCTGAAAAAAATATAAAATATTATCACTTTAGGAAGTTTTAAGTGGGAAGAGAATTCCACGAGAGGCCCTGTTTTTGCTTGCCACATCTTAGATGGCAAGCGTAGAAAGATCTCTGTGCATAGACAGTTCTGGGAACAATTCTTTAAGATATCTTTAAAACAGTGTGGCAAGTATTTCACTGCCTTTTCTTTATTTCAGCACAAACGATAACATTAGACCTCCTCTTAAAGCACAATGAACATTTTGATTTTATTGTTGAATTCTTTAAACAAGACCCCGTTTCCCTGATTATTAAATCAGATTTGAAGCAAATCTCAAATTTTTGTAGAAGGTTTGATCAGGGTTTTAGAGGAGGAAGGAATAAAGCAGAGGTCTCATTCTCACGGCGCGCGGGCCAATTGCGGCCCGCAGGATGATATCCTGTGGCCCCCACCGTGATATGAAAGTATAATATTAGTGCGGCATTTGAGGATATTTTTAAACAACGTTTTTTGTGGAATCCCTTATGAGGCCCAGCCTCACCCAGACTCTGCCTCCAGCGGCCCCCAGTTAAATTGAGTTTGAGACAGCTGGAATAAAGCAAGCTTGTCTAATTTCATTTTTACCTTCATTCAGTTTGATCAATGAGTGCCACAGGGTTTCTTTTTTTCTTGGAAGTCCACCCCAACTCTGATGGGTTCTGAAGAATTCAAAGATAGGTTTTAATGTCTCCCGACTGTGATTAAGAAAGGTTTTCAGAAGGGAAGCTACATATATTGGTTAAATAAAGATGAGAAGGAGGAGAAGCATACATTCATCAGAATCCAGCCATATGCAAGCAATTCACAAATAGCCATATGTGTTTAGGAGTTCAATATCGTTATTCCAATAACTGCCTAATGGATTTCTCTGTGGCCTTTCTGTCTGCGTGTCGGCCTTAATTTTAAAATAATTCATCTTTAAAATTCCTCTTTTCTCCCTCACCGATATTGCAGGTGTGCCTCCACCCAGCATGTTCTGGTACAAGGATGCAGTACTACTTGGAATGGAGAAGCTTGCCCGCTTCAAGCTGCTTGCTAACGGGAGCCTGCAGATCAGTGGCCTAATGCCAGACGATACAGGCATGTTCCAGTGTTTTGCCCGCAATGCTGCTGGCGAGGTGCAGTCTTCCACATACCTGGCCGTCACTAGTAAGTGTCAGCAAGTTCATTTCTCCTAACTTGCTTTGCTGGTTGTCACCTATTCTCTGCAGTAGCTACCACTCGTGGTGGTGTGGCCCGTCAGCTGCCGGCAGAGCTAGCAGCAGAGTCAGACGAGAAGGAGGAAATGGAAGTAGAGGGGGAGCCTGAGCCAACTTCAGAGCCTTTGGCCTCCCCCAGGTGGAGAGGCAGCTGTCTTCAGGGCCTGAGCTGAGTGAGGGGGAGGAACAGATGGGGCCCATCCCAGATGTGCATATGCGTAGAGAGGAAAAGAGAGGAGAGCAAAGGAACAGAATAAGCCGGCTCTTAGGGAGAAGCAGGCGCAAATGATAGCCAGACCCTCCCTGACAGGGAAATAAATAGTAGGCGTTTGGGAGTGGTCAGTTGTTTCAGACAAACGTTTGTTTCTAGTATACAACAAGCAATTACGTTTGATTTTTTGTTTATCCATGTGAATAAAAGACTGTTGCTGCCCTGTTATAAAAAGGGGGCTAAGACTAAACATCTCAGCCCTACTTGCGAAGGCTGGTTCAGAACAAGTGGTGCTTGGTGGGAAAATATGAGTGATTAATAGTCAGGCACATGTGCGCACATTTGGCTCAATAGTGTTGATGTATTCATAGAATAACAAAGTTGGAAATGGCTATTGATTATTATTTTATCTGTATTAAATAAGTTGTAAAATGTGATTAGAAAGAGGATATTTTTTAAACATAATAGTGGCAAAATTAAAAATTAGAAAGGGGACAAATAATGAAAGATTATAACTCAATATGAATTGGGTTATATTGAATATATTATTATTATTATTATTATTATTATTATTATTATTATTATTATTATTATTATTATTATTATTATTATTATTATTA